TATAAAACTGATATTTTTAATCACAGTTTTAAAATTATTTTCCATTATGCCGTGTGTAGAATTGTTATAATAAGTGGGAATCTGTCATTGAATACCTACATCGTGATAATGCTGGGAATAATTCAATGGAATAATCATGATGTGCATGCATGCAAGTTTTCGCTTTGCTAATTTCCCCCATTTCGGTAAATCCTCTTTTCTAATTGATACAAAATCGTATTAGTCTAATCTACCCGTGATTAATGGGTAAAAAACACCTATGCATATAGCAAGCAGCTAACAGACTTGTTTGACCAAGACAAAGATAGGGGAATAAAATCAAAACCATTTTGTTGGCCCTCAATTTGTCGCTGCCGGCATCGAAAATAATTATGTTGGTAAGGTATATACGAAGGTACAGGCAGCTAATTAGCAATGTTTGTATTTACAATATAATATCCCCCTTTTGTCATGATTGAAATTACTTGAATGCGACTTACGCGAGTAAGGGAAGCATTCAAACGGAACAAATAACAGATTGCATTTCGTATCACGAATCGCAGGGTGGAACCTTTTATTAATACTACAATTATTTATACTTTTTCGACGGAAGAGTATGCGTTCTTCGTAGCGGCATTTTACATTTTCTGCTGATCTAGACAAATGCTATATCCAAATAAAAAGATTATGTGTTTTCTGCCAGAATCTCTGGCCCTGCACATTAAGTTCGCTTAATGTTTTATACAATTATTCACACCTACGGTCAATTCTCTAGGCGCAGAAATGTATGTTCAAAGAAGAATTAAATTGTAGCCTACGGAGCACTCATGAAAAGAATTAAATTGTAGTCTAATTAATGGCAAATAGTGAAAATTTCTAATGGGTTAATTAAATGTCTTACTTAATGTTGTTTTTGAGCCAAATCACTTCTCCTGACAAATGGAATTTTAAATACATTTTCATTATACAAATCTATATTTCTTAGATCTTTATAAGTGGTTTCTTTTTCAACTGACTTGATTAGTACCTTTATTGAAATCAATTATTAACTAGCAAACGAACGGGAATTCCAAAACATATGTATTTATATCCCTCTAGAAACCTTAAGTATAAAGAAACTTCAAAATGTAACGCTAATTTGTTGGAAATAATAGGTGTTAATAAAAACCCCGTCGAACAGTATAATATATCACTAAAGTGTGATCTGTTATCATTAAATATATAAACTGATCACTAAAAAATAGGGCCCACAATGACTGATCCCTAAAAAATGGTTATGTATATGGGAACTTAGGATTGTGAAGAACATATTTTAAGTAATCTATTCTAGAGATGTTTGTTTTATTGTTTTTATATATGTATCGCCCATTGTAAAGTTGGTTGTACTCACAATGGCGAATCATTAAATATAATAACTGATCACTAAAAAAGGGCCCACAATGACTGATCACTAAAAAATGGTTATGTATTTGGAACTTTGGATTGTGAAGAACCAATTGTAAGTAATCTGTTCTAGAGATAGGTATTTTTTCAGTTCCCCTGATCTATACATTGTTTTTACATATGTACCCCCCATTGTAAACTTTGTAGTACTCACCATGGCGAATCCGGAGAGCAGGGCGGACGTCTTGCTGGAGGCCTTGAGTTTGGCACGACTCAGCTGGAGCTTCCGCCAGGACAGGTAGGTGGGCGAGTGGAGATCCTCTCCAGACTGCGACATGCTGCTGCTGCCGGTGCGGTGGTGTCCGCGCGGCTGAAAGCGGTAGGATTGATTCTGTTGGTAGGTGCGCAACTGAAAGGGCGGCGGCTGGGCCGCAAATGAGGGCGATGCTATGGAGGCTAGCTGTGGTGCGAGTGGGGCCAGTGGTGCTAGTGGCGCTAGTGGTGCTACTGCTGAAGCTGCCGCCAATGAAGCTGCTGCCGCTGAAGCCGCGAATGCTGGCGAGCCGTCTCGCTGAAGCGCAGTGAAGCGTCTCGTTTGCGGCGAATTCGAATTGAACTGGCTGTGATAGAGATACCGCGACGACCCAACAAAATTGCTCGCTCTGAGATTTCCCAGTTGTTGGCCGGGCAGCTGCGGGTGGAGGTGGTGGGGTGGCTGCTGGGTGTTCTGGGAGGACGGGTGGATGTGACTGAGGTGCGGATTCTGGCGCATATAGTCGCCGTAGTCGCCGGTTGCCGCTGTGGCTGCTGTAGCCGCCGCCGTATAGGCATCCACACTGGCCGCCAATCTGGCAGTGGCATGCAGAGCGCTCGCCAAGGCCGAAGTTGGCTGCCGAATCCCCGAGCCCATGCGGTTCGGCTGGGGATGCACCTGGTAGCGCCTCGAATACGGCAGTACATCCAGGGTCTCGCTGCTCGCCGTTCTCTCGGTGGATGATTCGAAGGAGCCCTGCTGGTGGCTCAGCATCAGGCTGCTCTGGCTCAAATTGGCCCGGGCATAGCGCAGATTGCTCATCCCGGTGGCCGGCGGCAGCAGTTGCTCCTCCTCGTGATCCTCCGCCGGCGGTTGGGCGGTTTCCTGTTCCGCAGACTTCATTTTCCTCTGTCGACGCGGCGGCTTTAGAGGTATCTGCTCCTCTGGCTGTACTTCACCCTCTTCAAAAGGTGGCATGGACTACTGCCTACGATTTAAACTTGATTTCTTTGTTTGCCCAAAGAGTTAAGATGATATCAGTCTGATACTTTTTAAAATTCTGTCTTTTATCCACGATTATCAAGTATATATTCCAAAAGATCGGTCTTAGGTTCAGTTTATAATACTAAAACTTAACCAAGAATCCTTTTCTATAAAGTTTAAGCTCCTTAGTAGGTATACAATCATACAGTTCTGTTCCTTAACTCTCAAAGTAGGGTTTTTCTCTAAAACATCACTTTTTGGTATGTGTTAATAGTGGCCAAACGTAAAGCTTAGCTCTTGACAATTTTAATTTTGATTTAAACAATTTTCTCTATACAGTCTGATAGGTTTTCTTATAAACGTAGTGTTCAAAATACAGCTTACTTAAATTTCAGTTCCAAAGCTGTTCCACAAGATCAAAAGTTTACGGGCACTCAAAATACCTTTTGGGTTTGGTTATGCTCCACAAGTTGCCCGAATAGATTGGGTGATTTCCAATGTCTGGCATATATTAATAAATAAAAATATTCCATCAGGTCATAAAGGTCCCATGTTGGTTATCGACAACGCCCTGCCTCAATTGTTATTATTATGAAGAGGCGCTTTCTTAGAACGTTTCAATTTGCTGTTCACAGCACTTGATTCGCAATGGTTATATTATTCATTTCTTAACCATTTGGACCTCAGTTATATGGATTTTATTGCTTTTCGTGAACTTTTCGCTCGTCTGGGGTCTGAGGAATATTTATTTTATTGGATGAGACCTTATACAATTTTTTTATCTGTGGAATATTAATTTTATTGCTCTTGATCTTGGCGACTTTCGATCGTTTATGGCACTCAGAATTATCAACTTGGGATATAATGTTTTTTTTAGGAGTTTAAAATAACTTATCAGTGAGTGATTCACTTATAGAGCACAGACATTTGCGATTATGCAGTTTTCTGGACCTCAGCAATGCCGAATCACCACTGTACTTGGTGCTTGGGATTTCGAGTAATCTCAGAGTTCCCGAGTTCGTTCGCCACTTGTCACTGTAATCTCGTTGTTTTCCGCTGTTTTTCGTGGGGCTTGTTTCATTAGGTTCCGTTTCACTTGGTTGATTTTGCAATGCTTCCCATTGATGATGCTGAATGAATTTCGCTGGCTGTTATTGTTTTTATTTTTTGCACATGACAATTGATCAACAATTACCCACATAGGCCGCACACACACGCAGGGTGCAAATTTCTCGCATCTCTTTCTCTATTCGCCGCACTCTCTCTCTTTCACTCTTTTTTTTTTTTGTCTTTCGGGTGCGTTAAAATATTTACTTTTTATTTATAAACACATTTTATGGGCCTTATAAAATGTAAAATACATGTGTCAATAAAATGAGTTTTTAGCAGGCACTTGTTGCTCGATTTTTTTTTTGTTGGATGTGGCCAAGGCCAAGAGTTGTACTCTATAAGAAACGACCGCTAAGAACTGCAAGAAATCACGGATGCTGGCTGGCGACACTTCCGCACAGAGAAAAAAGCAACAGCCACGCAAGAAAACGAATCGAAAAGTAATTCTTGCCTTGCCGCCACGAATTTTTATTCAGGTGCGCGGTGCACACTCAATTCGATTTCATTTCGCTTTTCGCGCCTCTTGTTCCTTCGGCGATGGCAAGTTAACAACTAACTGAACTGATACGGCTCTGCCAGCAGAGCAGAGCGGCCAAGCCGAGCGGTACTGGCGGTACGGCGGCGGCTGAGCGGCGGCGACGACGTATATTCAAATTCGACAATCAATTCGAATGGGGCGGCCTGCGATGACACAAAAAACAACAACAGCTACTGTAATGGCAATCGAACTATGACAGTACAACGTCTCTAAAGCGAACAATAAACTAATAACTGAGTTAGAAAATCAGCGACTTTCGTCAGGTACTTGAATCTTGATGTTTATCTAATCTATGATTTTGTCTAATTATAACATAGGATTCATAAATAAATTATAGATACATGAATACACAAGTTTGAATACTGTGAAACTTTACTAGTTTTAGCGTTGATTCTTGAATCATAAGCAACAGCTTTATATGTATAGATAAATACATTTTAAAAACTGTGATAATATAGATATAACACTAAAGAATATACCAAAAATAGAAACCTAAAAAAAAATGTAAGACATTTTATAGAATTGGATTTTTTTTCAATAAAATTTTTAAATCCAGTTTATAAGTAGTATACAAAATTAACTCTTTATAAAAATAATATCAAATTATTACTCATCAAATATATACATATAAGCCTATTTTATAATATTTTTAAATAATTAAAATTTGACAAGTATCGAGGAAAAAAGAAGTTTTTTTTCGTTTAGTTCTTAGAAATATGAAACAAAAATTTCCATATTTTGCTTTTAGAAAAAAACAACAATATGATTTACAAATGATAGTATTAGAAGAAATAAGAAGTTATCCTTAGTTATATCCTATAGTTCAACCTTTATATACAATTTAGTAATCAAATACAACTACCAAAAGTTCGTGTTAGTGAAGTTGCACTGTACAAAACAGCCATTTGAATGAAAGCGTTTAAAGGGAGAGTGGGTGAGAAATAGAAACGGAAAGAGAACTAGCTACCAGACAGGTGAAGAATCGAAAGAGGCGAGACCAAAACTACAGGAAAACAAACAGTAACAGGAGTGGTGGAAAGGGGGTGTGAAAAAGGGGGGTTGGGCAGGGCGAGGGGTGCGAAGTCTGCTGCTGCTTTTGGCAATCGATCGATGATCATCGACTGATGAATGGGGAAGACAAATCGAGTGATTAAACACACGCACATACGACACAAACTGGCATAGCGAAGGCCCTGAACTTAAACTAGTGATTCAAGATCCAATCAACAAGACCGAAAACCTATTGAACTACCAAAGAAACCCAGACGATTGTCTACACAATGCTTCACATCTTTTAAAACCATATTGCAGGTCAATATCCTCTGGGAGAAACATATGTGTGGGTGGTAACTTAGCTTATTGACATTATTTTGTATATACTTGAGACTACTCTATTTTTACTGGGTTTACCCAAAATCAGAAAGTATTCGGCTTGGTAAATAATGAGTCATTGCTTAAACTTGGATTGATTGTATATACATATATAAGGCCATTCAAGACCAGGTCAACAGCAGGGTTACAATGAAGATCATAGTTTGTCTGGACTTTCTCTGCGAGGGTGCCGCACTCAGGGTTTCCTCGATGAACTTGCGTTCATGATAGATACTGGTGTACACCAAAAAGCCTTCATCCTCGCAAACGAAGACCCTTCGCGCCACTCCGTATATAGTGTGGCCACAGAATAGCGGACTGCCCATGTCCATTTGGCACATATTGCCTCTCCCCGTAAAACTGCCCATGCAGAGGCAGCTATTGCAGTCCGACTTGCATTTGTAGGTCGTACTCTTCTGCGTCCTCAGCTGGAGAAGCTCATCGGAATAGGGTCCGTTCTATAGGCAGGTTAGCATATTATCTCAAAAGATGCTTAAAAACAAAGGTTCTATAAGGATTATAATGCTGTATGTCACAGATCCTTCGAGTTCTGTTAGGAATCCACTCACAAAGTACATCCTGCCCCAGCCGAGTGTCCTGCAAAGCCAAGTGCTATTCATCTCTTGTTTCGGCAGCTTCATGGCGAACCTCTGACCCGTAACGTCCTTCTCCAGCTTCAGCATAGCCAACTTGGAGCATCCGCCCTCTGATGCCTTGTCCAACACGACCTTTTCCACATCGAAAACATTTTCTTCCAATGGCTTTTTCAATCGCTGGTGGGTGAAGACAACAACCTTCATGTTCTTGCGGGTACTAGCCTTTTTTGGCGTGTTCACCGGCTGGGTGCTTACACAACAGCCAGCGGTAACCACCCACCTGGCGGACAGAATGGAGCCGGCGCAAAAGTGGTTGTCACCCCAATTGCGAATGTGTTTGCGCGTCCGTATGGAAACCACATTCTGATGGTAGTCCCCTGTTATGTAAAGATTCCGTTCAAGATTCTGCTCCTGTTCTTGGAATTCAGCAGTGGACATGGTGATCAGCAGCAGGAGTAAGTACTTCATCGCCAGTAAGGCGGAATGGTACATTCCGACTAGGAGTGGTATTGTTTTTAGCCCCCAAAACGGGCAATGTAATCAACAGTGACTACGTTTCCATTTTTCTAGTACCTATCATTTTTTTTTCGCAATAGAATTTTTTATTTTCCTAATCCTAAGCCCCGAATCAATATAAACAGAATTATATTAATCAAATTCCTTCTTATCCCATAAGTATACATATTTCCCATACAATATGTACAATCAAACAGGTTTCTGAAAATTATTGCCTACAAAAATCAAGCAAGTATAAATGAATTAAGAACATGTGGCTGTAATTTTAACTTTCTAATTTTGAATAAAGTGCTTTATAGTCATTTAACATAGAAAGTTCAAAGGTGATCTAATATTTGCTAGGGCTGAGAAATGGGTAGAGCCAACAAAACTTATTGAGCAAATAAACAGAATATAAAAACAAACTTTTTTTTTGATCAAGCAGGGCTGTTTGTGCCATGTTAAGAGACTTTTTATAGAAAACATATGGTAAAAGGGGAAAAAAATCAAATAAACTATTGTGATCATCTAAGAAAAGATTGTTTAGTCTTGTGTTTAATCTAATAATATTTCAGATACTTCCTTTTTATATTAATTTTATCCGATCTTAGGGAAGCCAAACAGGTCTCCTTTTTTGGTCTTACACAATTACAAATCTGGCTAATGTTAATAATAACTTGAGCTGTCAAACGGAACGAGATATCTGGGGATTTTTAAGCGCCTGACTTCCTTCAGAATAAACAAAATGTAACCACTTCAGAAATGTGAATATAAATAAGACCAGCCGATAAAGCAGCACAAAAAACAGAAGGTGTCAGCTGGCGGTTGGTGTTTAATTTTCCCCCCGAATCGTTGGCAAAAGTCGTATGCAAACACACACCTGGATTTCAGAGAAGCCGACCAAGGAGCACCCCATTTCTTGGGTTCTTGTGGGTGGGTGGGTGCGAGTATTTATTATCGCCGGTAAAAAAGTGCAAACAAAGCAGACCCGATAAGCGAAACGTACAACTCTTGGAGCCAATTAGACGCCGGTTATTGCGACATTTCCATGACCATTTACAATTTCATTGTCAGTGCTGTTCGCCAAAAACACTGCTCAATAATTCAGCAGGTTCTCCAGGTAACTCAGTCGTCATACCTGTGATTTATATGTACGCTTGTGCGATGTGTGTGTGCCATTTCGAATGTCTGTGCGATGTTGTTCGACTTGAAACGTACATAGGCCTTGTTTGTTTGTCAGTCAGCCAGAATTCGTGGCTCAATCGAATGGGCGCATTCAGCAGGGGATTGCGAATTTAGATATGAAATGTGTGATTTATGATGGAACTACAGTGACTAGAAAAGAGATTTATTTATAACCAATTTTGGGAAAACAATTTCTGTTCAATTTGTGTTACTATGGAAGCCCACATCAAATTCGTTTAAAAAAAAACCTTTTAAATTATAAGTTTATTGATTTTTTCTCATTTTTTATCTTTGACTGACACCTTAAGTTGTAGATTTTATCTTATTTGCCGAACTAATTAATTAACTGCATAACATTTTCTCTTTTTACCAGAGTTGTTTAACAAATACGTTTATGTCGTTTACATATCGTTTTTAGACACCTAAATATAGCTGCAGCTAAATTATATAGAATGCACAAATTTAATCTGGCAGCCCACTCAACAATTGTCATTGTTCTTTCTTCGCTTTATTTTGAATTAATTTTGATTGGGAAATGTACGAATTGTAATAACATAAAAGAAAATGGAACCTAAACAACTTTTGGCATTAGTTTGTTTATGTACTATGTATTTAGATTTTTGGGAAAAGTAATCTTCCTGTTTAACTAATTAAAAATTTGAAATTGACAGATGACAGTCATTAGCTATTATATTAAAAAACATTTAATTTTTAAACGATATACATCAACTATAATTTAATATTTGAAATAGAATACCTTTTTAACGACTCATTTTATTCAAATCTTTTTAATATACCCACGACTTTTGGTATCTTATCTTTAAAATTACAATATTCATTCCTAATCAGGATCTTTATAGGAATGTTTGTCATTTATGTGTAAAATTTCCCTTGTGGGTGCTCTAGTTTAAAAGGAAAGAGTGGAGATTTAGCATCCATAAATTGCAGTTGTACTTGTACTACGGAAAATATTTCTGTATATTTGTTAGCAAATATTTCTTATCTTTAAATAGGCAAAAAACACCTGTCAATTTAAATTCTTTTTTCTTTTTTGTAGATAAATCTCGTGATCTATCACCAATTCACAGCTTAAAGTGATCGCAGGTGTGACCTGCTGAATGCGCCCATTCCAACGCGTAAGAGACAGAGTGGAAATGAGAGAGATTAGCTTCCATAGCATCGCTTTTAGAGTGGGGGCGGGGGGATAGAGGGGAAATCGAAGAGACAGAGATTGGAATTGATTTGTTATTGGACTTACCTTTGCCTGGTTCTGTGAGGAAGGGGGCGGGGGCGGCGGGAACTGCAGCAGCGAGTTGCTGATGCTGGAACGTTGGAATCCTGCGCTGTTGTTGCTATTGCTGCCGCTTCCAGTGGGACTGTTGTTGTGGTGCGGATGCGGATGTGAATGCGGATGTGCGTGCAGAGGGAACTGCTGCTGGAACTGATGGCCGGTGGCCACTGAGGTGGCGGCTGCAACGGCGGCGGCCACAACGTGCTGAAAGTGGTGCTGCTGGTGGTTTCCAGTGGCGGTGATCACCGCTGAACTCCTAGCTGCTCGAATCGTCGGCGTCGTCGTCTTGGACGGCGTCTCTAGGCCAGAACTGTTGGTCGTGGTCCACACAGACATGTTGGCCCAGCAGCGGATTCGATTTCTCCGGCGATTTTAAGTACGTCTGCCATGGTGGTGGTGCACGGGAATAGAAGCAAATGGAAGAGCAACGGTTTTAGTTACGCAGAAGTCAAGTGCAAATTAAGTACAATTGGCGAGGTTTGAAAGTAAACTAAACAAAAAACAAATTAATTCCACAGCATTTTGCTTTACTTGTGCTGGCGCTAAAATGTGCTAACGCCTGACGCCGAGGCAAATCGTTAGCCTATCGATAGCTATCGATTGGCCTAGTGGTGGTAGTCCTACCACCAGCTGTTACGCAAAGGGCGCCAAAGTTCAAATTTTTGAGGTTTTACTGTGTTTAAGATATTCCCCAGTGAAGTGCCAGCTAAGTGCTTTTCTATTTACTATTTAATGCCTAACAAACCCATTAATCAAACGCCCACACTTGGGAATTAATCAAATTGTTTGCTGAGCTTTACGCCCTGACACACATTTTAAATTGCTAGTGGCTGTTCTTTTTTTATCGCCTTTTCTATTTCTTGCTATTTTGAAGAGCTCTCTTTCTGTTTTGGTTTGCTAATTTTCTTTCACATTCTTCCGGCGTGGTCGCAAATTATTTTATTCTTGGTCTGCATACATACATATGTACATATTGACATATGCACATTGCATCTGTCGCTCTTATTCTCTTTATTTTGTTGCTATCTGCCTTGAACTTGCAAATTGCGTATGAGTGCGAGGAGTGCAGAATTGTTCTCGCATAACTGTGCTATTCGCACCCCCTCTCTTTCTGTTTCCTAATATTCACACCCACACTTTCGCAAGTGTTTGGCAATGGCTTTCTTCGCTTTTCCTTCCCCCGCCTCTTTATCGTGCCTTTGCCTTGCTTTGCTTTGTTTGGGAATTAATTTACATCCCATCGATAGATAAAGCGAGTCATGTGCCGATGTGGAGCCCTAGAACCGTTATCTATCGGATATGCCCCAAACCAAAGCGCGAGCACTCACGTATTTGCATAGCAACAGTCGTGACCACAGCAATAAGAACTGCACAGTAAAAAGAGATTTCGATTTTATCCCAAGACTCATAACTTAAGAATCACGATTTTGAAGTTGTTCGGCATGAAAAGATTGTCGGTTAACCTACTTAAAATGCGTACTTGATTAAAGACCTTGTTATAAAAGTCATATTTGGGAAGATAATAATAAAAAACGAATGTGAAAACAATATTAATACACTTTTTGAAATTAGAACCCAAAAAACATGTTTACTCCATTTGTGGATATCAGAACTTAAACGGAAATTTAAGCTTCTCGTAAGTCTATGTTTTAAGATAATTTGTTTTAATATTTTTAAAAAGTTTTTTTATGTTTTGAAATAAAAATTATTATTAAACTAGTACCTGTTCTGTTATGAAGCTCTAAAAATATGAACCACCCTAAAAAATCAGTTTTGCTTCAGATAAGATCTCTAATATGATCTCAAAATGTAAAACAATTCCAACAAATTTATATTTGTTGTTTGGTTTTCAATATTTGCATTTACATACATTAGGGTGGACCAAATGTGCTTGGTCCTGCTCTGACTATCCAAAAATCAAACTTTATCACTCATACGTACTGTGGCCTTTGATCATAATTTAATTTGAATCTAGGTGGCGTAAATTGCAAACAAACAATAATTCTTTTTCTCCCTTATTTTAACAATTGTTTCAAAGGAATCAAAAAGTTTACAAGGTTAGAAATGAGAAAACGAGTTTTGGGACTATGATCTAACTGGCATACGAGTCGTATGAGTAATTTTTAGCGAAACTTTAAAACCATTTTCATGAGTGTTACTAAATCATAAAATCAAATTTTGTAGTTTTTAAATACATATTTTGCCAATCGTAGTCTAAAAAACGTAGGAGTGAAAACAAGATTTTATTTTTCGGACCACCCTATTCTTTTGCATGATAAATAACAGAAATATTTTATTTTTCGAGTTTTGTCAAAAATTTATTATTAGATTTATTGTTATTAGAAATGCATTAATTTATTATCAACATTTACTAGACGGCCAAAAAAAGATCTTCTTAAATATATAATTATATGGAAATCAGTAGTCTTGTCACATACAATTACTATTCGAAATCTGACATTAACTATAAATATGTTTTCAAGAATTCGCATAGAGCCAAATGTTTATTGCGTCTAATTAGAATTCTTGTTTTGATTGATACCACAGGAAGATGATTCACCAATATTCAGATTTCTTTGATCTCTGACTTTGAATTTAAATGTATTTAAATGGAGAGAACTTTAATTCCGACATTCTATTCGTCTACCCATTGCTGTATGCGAACGTATTAGAATTTCCTTGTGGGTCGTGCGTCGCCTTCAAGGTGTTACAAATGTGCGCAAATGGCATTATCGGTTATCAGGCGGCTATTCCATACTTGTTTGGCAACCAAATAAACGGTTCAGCGGGGTTAGGGCCCCCATAACAGTCTATAATATTTTTGCATGCCCTGCTCCCGTGGCGATCAGTGATCACGACTCGGGTAGTGAATGTAAACAATTGCGGGGCAATTGAAATCAATAAGCGATCCGTGTGCCGCAGACTTTGTAATCCCTTCTGGGCCTCTCGATTCCCGGCTCTACTCGATATGTTCTTCATTGTTTTCTTCGACTCAAGATGCCAAGTCATTGGCTATTAATAAAACTTCGCTCAGAAATCAAACTTCGATAAGAAAAAATAAAAACAAACAATGCAAACACCCTGAATGTGTGTCTGTGGGCTTCGGGGTAAAAAATATATGTAAATATGTACTTATATCGCAAATGAATTTGTTCAACTACAACATATGTACATAAACAATCAGCCCATTTGACAGTGACGCAGATTTCTAATTTCGGATTCAAGTTGGAGAAAAACAGCGAATTCTGGGAACTGAAGTCAAACACTCGAGACTCTCGAAATCTTTTCAATGCCTTCATGATGATTATCTGAAAAGGTAATTGATTGAAAGGCTCTAATTATATAACTCTTAAAAGCTCACTTTTAATGAAAGCCACTCTGTAACTTTTGACCAGTTACAAAGTCCCTTTAATTGAACGGCAATTATTGCGTTTTACGTTTGAAATGGAAACTTCTGGTTTCTCCATTCGAAATTAGTTATTCTTTTATTCTGTAAACAAACATCTGCTGATCCCAAAATCTTCGTTCTGTTTTTAAATGTAAATTAAGGCCTTTAAACCTGCTGCTGTAGAGTAAAAATACCAAATTTAAAACCCATAAATAGCCCCACAAACTTAAAGACTTGAGAATTAACATAATATCATCTTTAATTCATACTTAAAAAATTAATAATTAATGTATTGGTACAATAATACAGATACACAGCTAAGTACGCGGCACTTAAATGGACTAATGGACAAGACAAGACGATCACAGGGGTCATGGGTCACCAAAAACCCCGCTTGGCAACAACTAACGTTACGAAAATGTCCTCTATTTGGCTGACTTGTGGTATGGAGTTTGACCTATGGCTATGGCTTATTGTATGGTGGGCTTGATGGAACCCATGGAGTTCTTGCGATGATGATTGACCTCGAAGCGCTTCATAATGCTGGCCACAATGGACGAGGGTGGCATATCGGGATTTCCGGTGAGACCTCTATAGCCCAAAACACTCGAATCCGCGAGGGAGCGAGCCAAAGTCAGTCTTTGCACAAAGGCATCGGTATCGATACCAGGCACTTGTGAGGGTTTCAGGAAACGCCGAGGTATCCTGGACAGCATATCCTCGGAACTGAGGGGTCCAAAGCCCAGGTTGATGAGTATGGCCTCGGGATCGGGCTTGCGGGCCTCCAGCAGACTATCCACACTGGAATAGCGACTCGAGTCGGATTGTACAGATACAGAACTATCTCGGAGGAGTAAACTGCTAAATCTCTGCTGTCTCTGAGCCTGGGGACTCAACTCGGGAGCTGTGCTGGAGGACTCGAAGGATTCTTCGTGGCGCAGGCAGCGGCTACTCATCGAAGATGATATGTGACGCAAGGGCAAAGGCAATGGAACTACGGGCGTCATGTTCTCCACATCCGGATCGGCATTCTCCTCCAGATCGGCGGCATATTCCATATCATCGGCATCCACGGCAGACTGTTGTCTTTGGAGTTTTCTGCGCCTGCGCAGCGGTTTGCTGGGCGGAAAGTGAACGCTGGCCAGCTGATCACTGCTGCCGGCCAACTGTTCCAAGGGTCCAGCGACGACCTTGATGCCACCCCTTCCATCCTCGAAATTACTACAGCTATGCGAACGCTCCATATCGCTGTGTGATATATATGTACCTCTGGTTTGTACTTTAGGTAGGTATGAATCTCTCTGGATATCTAGTATCTTTAATGGGTTTTCTGCGGTCACGGCTGCTCGGGTTACAAGCTCAAGTCGACAAATGCCGCGCGATCTCGATTCGAGCTCAGCTTTTCGACATATTCGGTAATGGCCAGAATCAGGGCCTTTAATTTCGAATGCGTGTGCTCGTGTATTCAATAACAAATAACAAAAAGCGACAGCAATTTGTGTTATTTGTTATTTTTTATTTGGTTAATTTGTTGTTGTGCGAGAGCACCTTTTTTGTGGAAACGTGTTTTTCTATATTCCAAGCGTTTGTTGAGCTAGCTGCTCGTATTTGCCGTATTTGTGGGTTTTTTGTTTACTTATTTCGAGCCGTGAATGCGGAGATGCGGAGTGTTAATCAGCCGGAGAGCTTCTGACCCCGGATTTGGAACGATCGAGTGTTTTCACGATCGCTTGATATTGACATTGGGTTATATTATTATTGTTATGGGAAGTGTGACTTTTTGTTTCTGGTGGGAGACCAGCTTTGTTTGCTCAACTTCTATATTTATTCACATATTAAGTACACAAATGTGGTCAATTACAGAATTCGAAATGGAGTTCGAGTTGGTATATGTTTTTTTTTTATTTGCAATATTATTTCAGCTTTTTAGCTTTAGCTTTCTCTTTCCGCCCTGCTGAGCGACTGCTCCACAGCGAGTGATCTTCAAAACTGAAACTGAAATCACAAGCCCCAAAGGCCCCAAGCGAACGATCGGAGCTTTTACGCCGGAGAAAAAGAGAAAAAGAGAGAGAGAGAGAGAGAGATAGTCAGAAATCGGGGGTCTGAGAGGGGCTGAGAAAATCGGAGAGTGAAAGAGTAGTATGGCGATCGGTCTGGGTCTGAGCTGGAATTACTTTGCGACCCGAACCCCACGACAATTTTCTCAAGCGCAACGCCAATCTATTAAGAAATTTTGATTCTCCACTCCACTCCCTCGTAATTCCCCCATTTACCCACGCAATCCAATCGTTTTGGGGGGGAAAAACCATTCGTGTGCTTTCGTATCTCCTCGATAAAAAATTATACCTTAGTATTATGATCACGTTCTGAAACTCTGCGAGCGATTTTATTCCTCTTATTGTGCCTTTCGCATTGCCCTTATTTGCTTAATGAAACACATTTTACGGCCTAAAGCGCCCATTGTTAAACAATTTGGGGGATAAGATCGTAAAGATCTCTTTATCTAACTGTTGCAGGAAGATTTCGGGCTAATTGTAAAAGTGGATCAGACTTTACGATCGTGTAAGCAATGGATGTTTGTTTGAGTTGGCTGAGGTGCCGGTTTCGCCCAGCTTCACATGCAGATGCGGAAGAGTCACGCCAACGGAAAACACAAACAGGGGAAATTGTTTAAACCAGTTAATAAGTGGCGCGGGAAAAGCTGTAGAATGAAAAGCTTTTAACCAAAACAGCTGAGGTCCAAGCTTTAACCGATTCAAAGTGAATCGACCGTTGTGCCTTTCCTTCGAACACTGCGAGAATGTGATATAAGATATCATCTTGAGTACTTCAAAAGAAGTTTACTTTTCGAATTAGATGTTTTCATTCTAATGTCTCTGAAATTCACAGTTCGAACCAAAAATGTTTTGATCTAAAATATAATTTTCGTCACACATAATTAACACAATAATTAAATATCTACATGATAACTTAAACAAGTTTTAGACTACATTCAAAAACATCATATAAGGATTTATTCCTTTCTTTAGTGATGACATAGATCATTAAATTTCAAAATATTTGTTATTTTAAGAGTATTTGTCCACTGGAAAATATCCGTTCACTTTAATTATAATCTAAATTTTTGCTGACTATCTTTTATTATTCTCAGTGCAGCTACTCCCTTCTCCTAATTAATTTTGAAGCCCTATTAAATCAAATCTGAAAAGCTAAGGCCAGTGACACTTGACACTTTTAAAACGAATTAAAATTTAAATAAATATTAAATGCGGGAACATTTTCCTTACTTAATTTATATTTTGCCAGTACACATGCTCCCTTTTGCAACCTCAGCTTCAGACGATTGTAATTCATACTTGACACGTTCTGGCCACTGACTTACTGAGCTGCGTAATTGGATCCAGAGAACAGTGGCAGCAACCTCAAGCCCCCGACTAAAGGTTCTGTAAACAGATCTTCCCAGACCAGACTGACAAAGGTCCAAGTGTATCGCATGGGAAGTACTCTCAGCAGGTAAACACTGTGTGCCTAGGGCAAATTTACCCAACTCTTCGAAAATTGACTTTGTCTATCAAGGCCAGACGTTATGGAAGACTCATAAATCTGCGGCGCGCTTTTCATAGAACAAATAGTTTAATGTAGTCAAAGTAAATTTGTTAAATTCAATAAAAGGTGAGCTGAAGGGGATGTCATAATCACGTTGTGCAATTAACTATCGACCGATGCCGATGCTGTCAGCGATCATCTATTGAACAACTTGGGTCTAATGAATGTTTCGATATGATTGGACGATTGGAGTGGGAGGTATCTCAGATTGAAGTTCGAAGCTGACTAGGAAATACTGACTGGGGGAAATACCAATGCCGTCTTTGTTTTTAATTAGCACGATCAGCATGATAGGGCGATTAATTGAGATAAGAGAAAGGGTAGAGTTTTAGACACAGATCCTGGGATTAACAACTAATTTGGCTTAATTGGGAAGCAAAATAAATGGCTTAATTTTCCCAGAAAATCTAGATTTGTGAGTTATGCAAGCGATATGAAACACGAAAGTTAAGCGAACCTGATTGGAATAACAGTAATTACAGTGACACAATGATGGCGTGCATTGGGTCAACCTGTGATTCAACAGGGCATACACTGAGGGAAACGGATGTTTTAAAATGTATATATATTGAGGATATTAACAATTTAAATTGAGAATATTTTATACAAATTGATAACTCCTGAAAGAGCTTATTAACATTTTCTGAAAAACAACTTGGGAATTATAAGCATTGAAAACTAGTTTTCAATAGAAATGCCTTTTAACAACTTAAAATCTATTTCTATTTAGAAATTTCTTAAAAAACAGCACAAAAATTGCTAATCTTGCTTTAAAAATTCTCATTTATATTATATTTTAATTATAGGTTTTCTTTTTTCTCCCAGTGCAGTGGCCCTGATCGGGTAGAACCCAAAACCGTTAGGTTTGATTCTGTCAATGGCTCGCGCGCCCTTTTCAATTGATAGTAATTGGCATCGAATAAAAGTTATTCGACTGTTGTAATGTATACAAGCGAAAGTGTAAATTGCAATTGAAATTTCAGCATTGTCAAGTAGTTTGAGTGCAACTTGGAATTGCAAATGACCGACAGGAGAAGGGAAGCTCGAGAAATGGGAATGGGAATGGCTATGGGATATGGGAATAGGTATGGGAATCCAGAAATGAGAGCTGCTCACCTGCGATTCTGCTTGTTAAGTCAAACTATGTATTTTAGTTTGGTTATATTATAGGATAAGGCGTAACGAAACAAGTTGTCGTTTTTTGTTCGTTGCTATTTCTAGGTTTTCAAGCACGTGTTTGGGCTGTCAACTTTTCCGGCTTCAGCTAATGCACTTTCTATGCCATCATATTTTATAACGCTTACAGTCGAACCTCCATAAATAAGACGCTTAACATTTCTTTGGTTTTAAATTGTAGGAGAAGAAAAAAGATATATATTATTTTTTAGATTGGAAGAAACTTTATCTTTTTAGTTTATATAATTAAAATAACCATAGAAATACACTGAAATAGTAAACTTAGATTCAATCGTAATACACTGAAATAATAAACTTAGATTCAATCAATGATCCATTTCAAGATCAAGACTTTAATTCTTATTTTAATAACGATTTTTATCGGATTTCAAATTGTTGATTTGGATATTTTATTAAGAACCATAATAATATAAGCTTTTATCTTTTGAAATCCAATGTAAATACTTATTATTTTCACATCTGATACTTCGGAATCCAAAGTTTGTTTTTTTTTGGGTCTTATATTATTTTCCAATGGAGTTTGAAACTATTTATAAGCTATTTTGATTCATAGATGTTCGACCGTACTTTCTAAAAGGGCTTACATTATGTAGCTGCAATCCACAACCGTCGCGAATCGTTTCGAAATTTTAACTGATGGTGGTGAAGGGTTGTCACTCTCTTTGGGAGCTGTTTATGAGGATTTTCTTCGCAGCGGGCCTCGTTATCTGCGGATCATCAGCGAGCTATTTTTTTTATCTTGTCACTGATTATAATTATTTTAGTGTAGTCAACTGTCGGCCAAATATTTGCACATTGTTTGTTGTGCAAATGAAATGCTTTAGACCCAAGAACAAACAGTTACGATGCTTAGAAATATGCACAAAAAGTCGAGCACGAAACGCGAGGCGGAAAAAATTAATACAAGAATATCTCAAAGAACAACAAAAAAAACACAAAAAAAAAGATACAAGAAATCCGCGAAACACAACAGAAAATAAAAATACAAGATAAATACGGCGGCGGCGAGCACACGTTCGCTTTTCTGCGAGCGCTCCGAATGAATGAAAAGTGCGCTGCTAGCGCAAAGATAAATAAATACCGATGTCGCTGCCGAAAAGCGCAGCAGCAGCGACGTCGACGTCGGCAGCAGCGGCATTGCACCTATTTTTTGTTGTTGCCCTGCCAGGTGATTTTGCCGTTAGAATCCGTGGGATTTCGAAAAGCCAATCAGCCGGTTTTTTAGATAGTTTTGTAAAATGTAAATGTTTTCTTCGCATTCTACAGATATCTACATGGGGCATTTGACGTATGTACATATATTTTACACGGGTTTCTGCAGGTACATGTAAAATTACGCGTATTCTTTAACCATTATTCATTCAGCACGAAAATGAATAAGTTTTTATTTAAATATTTTATAATATGTGTTGGTTATTATGTTTAATAAATATTTCATAATATTCTCAACTAAAAAAAATCAAAGGATTCCTTAAAATATTTTTAAAATTGTTTTAAAACGTCTTTTTTTTCAACCTACATTATTAAAACTGATATGTATACATTTTAAACTCAGTAACTATTTAAGAACAAAATATTTGATAGCCTTCTTTAAAATAACTTTACATTCAAGAAAAACATTATTAACATTAAAATTTAAAAAAATGCGGTTATGTTATTAAAAACAATCTTCATAGTTTTTAAAAGTTATTTTATATAAGATTCATAAGTGAATAAGTGAAACGTTACAAATATCTTTAATCTTTTATATCTTCTTTTATAACACATTTCTTTAGTCTTAAGAATAGACTTTAAAATCGATTATTTGTATCCTGTCTTCATGAAAAATATCCAACGCCTTGGTAACGCTATAAATCCCTTTTTAAAAAAACAATCCATTTACTTTTTGTTCTTTATTTAAATGTTGTGTATTCATTATAATTATATTGTACAATTTGTTTTATTTTGTTTGCTTGTCTCTTTTTATAATTTCTCAAGTTGGACATGCACATGATGGAGTGTCACTTGTTCTCAGTTGCATTTTCACGTTTTTTTTGTGGTTTTTTCGCTTTTCTATTTTTCGCGGAATTGTTTTCCAACAGTAACAAAAAATAAATTATTGGCTTTTAAAATATATGTGTATGTTTTGTGTATACAATATATAGAAAGAGCGTAGAACTTAAGGGTTACGGTAACTAAATGTAAAGAATTATAACATGC